AGAGAGACAAAGAGAGACAGAGAAAGGGAGAGACAGAAAGACAAAGAGAGGGAAAAGCAATAACGACAGTAGGGAGCAGACCCCTCATCTGAAAAAACTTTAACAAATACTTTCATCCAACATTGTACTATATAAAGTACATAGTAAAATGACACTTTCTGAGTAAATATTGCACTTGAGAGGACAGTGGCGTCTGCATTCATAAATGGATAATGCCGACACCACACGACCTCGTCTTTCCTCTGTCAAAATCTGCTCAAGGTTTAAAAGAGAATCAAAGTCTTTCTGCAAATAAAACATGACTGCTCAGGGCTCGGCACACTCAGGCCAAATCTTACACATTCTTGCTGTTTTGGACCAAATCCACACTCGAAATGATCTATTGTACTGCACGATTGAATTGTATTTATCTCCCTCAGGGCTTTATCAATGATGATTCAAAATAAAATATTGTATTTAAACACAACAGAATCCAGGCACTCCAAAGAAGTAAAGATCGCACAAGGAAAAATATACTCAAAAGGCCAACAGGTTTCGACTGAACTGGTCTTCATCTGGGCTTAAAAAAAAAAGAAAGGGCCTGTCTCCACTAAGCTCTGATGAAGACCAGTTCAGTCGAAACATGTTGGCCTTTTAAGTATATTTTCCTCATGCGATTTTTTAATTCATTAATTTATTTCTATACTTTTTTATTTATTCAGTTTTTCAAGTTTTGTGTCACAAACAAACAAATACAAAGCTTGGGGCACTGTTCCATTGCAATAAGGATCTAGAAGTCAAGTCTCTTTTTGTTTACAATGCCATATAATTCCATTTTGTCCAATGTTTAATGAAGAAATGTCTTTTGAGTCGTAGAAAAAAGAGTCACTCATTCCATGGAAAATATTTCTTCTATAATGTCCACTGATTGACTGATGGTGGGTCCTTTTCAAGCCAACTTCTTGTTACAGCCCACATGCGATTTTTATTTCTTTGGAGAGCCTGGATTTCGTTGTGTTTGAGTTTTGATCCTTTTTCCAAGAGCGCCCTTTACCTGCCCTCACTGTTTGGAAAACCTGCACCACACAGCCACGTTTTGTGTTTTTTTCTGTAAAAATAATGTATTATTTACATTGTTAAAAAAATGTCCCTAAAATGGCGCCCAACCAAGACTAAATCACAAGACTGAAACAATGGAATCCATCAAGATTTTAAGTTAAGTAATCACAGCTGAAATGATGATTCTCTATTCATCAGTTCTTATTAATCCTTATTAAAGGTGCACTGTGTAACTTTTCTGGTGGAGATACCTCTTCAATGAAGTCATTGTTATGTCATTGCTTTACGTGGAATGTCTCACACTATGGCATTACATTTATCTTTATTCATGGGCATTTAATTTATTTTTATATCCGTGAAGAGAAGCAGTTGATGCCATCCGACCAAGTTACAGGTCAGATCTGCGGAGAGACGCAAGTTCAACGCTATTTATTGATGATGGACATAAAAATAGCATTGGACAAATAAGATGCATTGTTTCAAATGTTACAGAAAACTCTGCTAATTTTCAGCAGTGAAAATCTAAAAAATATATCATGCAAAAAGTAAGTTTAAAGGTCCTATATTATGCAAAACTGGTTGCCATGTTATAATGATAATAATGTTACCTCCTCAAAAACATATCTGGAGTTGTGTTTTGTTTTGTTCATGTTTGAGTAACCCTTTTTTTTAAATTAGTCTATCTACATCTCCAGAGCTCAAAATGCTCTGTTCCACCTTGTGGCATCACAAAGTGGTAGTTTACAGCTCCTTTTACCTTTAGTTCAGTAAAGATTGGCCATTCCTGGTCTTAAATTATCCAAATGATTCTAGTGAAGGTGTGTGGAGTTTAAAAACACAATGGTGCACTTCTTGTATTATCAAATGACATCACAAGGTGGAAGAGAGTGTTCTCCATTTGAAAGAAGATCACAGCTTAAATATGCAGAGTTTCTGTGTTTGAATAAAACAAAACAAAACACATTTTCAGGTATGTTTTTGAAGAGGCAACATCATCACAACATAGATCAGAAAATAGCGCAATATGGGCCCTTTAATAGTAAACTGGAACCAGAAAAAAGTGACATAGTGTACTTTTAATTAACCATCTGAATCCAATTAACGACACAGGTATTTTAATGAAAGTTCCTGCGTTGAAAGCCCACCTCTCCTCCTCTCGCTCTTCCCCTCGCTGTTTGTCGGAGATAAGTGCTGGTGACGCGGCGCGGGGCTTATGAAGCTCAGAGCTCGGCGCAGCGACGGCGATGACAGCAGCGGTGACAGGAGAGAGGAACGGAGTGAATGAGACGCAGAGGGGGGAGGACGAGACCACCGTACCTCTCCTGACCGTCTCTCCATTTAGCCTCCACACGGGGGGTCCTCTGCTCTGTGTTTACCAGCACACGGGGCGTACGAGCACCCGCAGCCTATTCACAACGGACCACTCAGAGCACATACAAAGAAAGCTGTCACTCGCCTATTT